ATTCAGCTGAAATTGGATGAATGGTCTCAAATACATGTATCTGTACATATGTTGGAGCACTTACATACCTGGTAGACATAGACAGTGTTAGTTCATAGCATTTGCCTCTTTTCTAAAACAACAAAAGTGACTTAACAAAGATTTGCAACATAAAAAAATCAGCCTAAAGGATAGTCTGAACATGTATATTCTTTTTAAAATTGTGTAGCTGTCTCTCTTAATGAGTGAGTTCTGTTTTGCTGAGAAAGAGGATAGATACAGTTTTTTAATTATATGACTTTTTAACTTGGTTTGAGAATACACAGTCACATAAATGGTGGATGGTACTGTTAGCAACAGAGTGCCATCAGTTTGAAGTAAGAATTGTTTTGATTTCTAACCATAGTCACCATGCTTTTTAAGGCAGGGACGGTAAATAATAACAGAGGTCTCTAATCCTCACTGAGAACTCAGGCTGTCGTTTACTGTTTATTTCTAAACCCTCTTAAGAATATCATCTTAAATAGTTTTTTTACATCTTGCTTGACATTTGTCCTGTTAGAATTACTGTCAGCTTTTCTGGTAACTAGGTAAAATGGTTACATGATTTGACAAATAGTGTTTGATGAATAGATCAAACTGTCAGCCTGGCCTCTGCAAAAATGCGATGACTTCAAGGCTCATGAAGCATAGCATTCTGCATTTCCTGCTTCCCAGTCACCAAAAAGAGATAAAAAAGACCAGTATGTAGTGAGTACCAGAGCAGTTCTCTGGTCATACTGAAATTGGAGGGGAGGGGGGAATTGAAGGGAGAGTTGAAGCTACTTCAGCAAGTGTTATACATTCTGATTTTAAAATAATTTGTTGGATATTTTGGATCTTTACTTCCAGAATAGGAATTAGTATTGTAAAACACTTACTAGAAAGTATAACTACTAAACTTTGTATGGTATCCATTCTTAGAATGGGCATGGGTAATGGCCATTATATTAACATTTTTAATGTTCAGCTGGTAACTGCTTGTTCCCTATTAAGTTTATTTGCATTTATCTTTCCAGTTTTGACACTGAGAATAATCTCAAATGTGACTGTAGTTCACAAATATCTGCTTATTGATTGGCTTGTTCAATACAGACTAGTCTAATTATAATAGACTGTTTTCTCCTCAATTTCCAGAACTAGCTTGTCTTGAGAATTTCATTTCTCATTCTGCTGTGTATTGGTTTTCACGCTGAAGCTCCTACTCACTCATAATTTTCTACTTCTATTTTATACCAAGCACACACATACATACAAGTGTCATTTGGATCAGGCTAATTTCCTCTTTGAGTACAGCCATTTATACTTATTTGTTCCATATGCTGTGTCTACCAAGTGTCTTTCAGTGTCTGTTAATATATACATGAATGTTTTCATGATGTTATAATTTTGGCTTGAACAACAGAATGAACTTATATCAAACACGCCATAAAGGATCATGTAACAAATTGCTGAATCCATACCAAAAGGTGACTGCATAGTGAAAAGCAGTAAAGGAATGAAATTATAATGAACTAATACTATTACTTTATCAGTCAAACATAACTAAAAGGTGACACCTACTCTTGCACACAGCATACTTGTCTGTTATTTCCTAAGTGAAGGACATAAACAAAAGTGGGATGTAGCACAATACTGATTTAATGGTAGTGGCAGTCAGCTCAACCAGTTTTGCTTAGTGGTGCTGCTAATCTTAAATACAGCATTGTATGTATTTTAGAGGCCAAAGATAAAGAAAGTAATTGTTACTGGCCTTGGTAATATAAAAATTGATGTTAGCATAATTTCTGTCACATGAAATGCATTGGCATTTTCCTTCAAAAGTTGCAAAGAGGATGTTGCTTTCAATCTGAGAGTACTTAGGCGAAGCAACTTCCCATACCAAAAAATCTGCACATTATTTTAGGTTCTTCTTAAATGTTAGCCTTGCCATAATAAAAGAGCATTAGTACAGCAGTTAGTTGACTTTCCTTTCATTTGCAGAACTAGTACAGCTTTCTTGCTATGTCAGTACAGCAAACAAACAAAGAAGCCATGATGTAAGCATATTTACTCATCTTTTGAATTCTCTTATTACTGAAAATCAGTGCAGTGTCTCAGAGTAAGTTTTCTAATCTATGGAGCCTTGTTCTCTGCTATTTCTAAATGTGCATATAAAATGTATTGTATGAAGGAAACAGAAAAATGTTCTGTGTGTGGAATAGGACCTGAGATGTCTTAGAAATTACATCATTTACAAATGGTGGTAGTTGCAGTTTTCTTACAGTTCCTTCAGAATATATACCTTGGAAAGGCAACACAATTGGTCTCTCTCTTTTATGAACTCTGGTCAAGAGGGTTCTCAAGTGAAAGGATTCTTATTTAACATAGAATCCCACTGTAGTCCTTGCTGTTTTTTATTAGCATCCTGACAGAACAAGAACCATACATGCTCAGTGTTTCATTTTCAAGGTGATTTTCAACACAGCAAAACTCAGTGGAAGATGCTTTACGGATTCCTTTCAGCTAGTTAGCAAAGTAACATCAATTATTGAACGTGTATTTACAATTGAATTCAGCTGTGTTTGTGCTTCTCTTCATTTAAGTGCATTACATGTGTTACATGACACACATAATGGAACAGGTAAAATCCTTGCCTTTCAAGCATATTTATGGTGGCTCCATTTTAATTTCTGAATACTGTTTTAAAGACCAAATAGTAATGAAACATACTGAAATGCAGCTTTTTCCTTGACAAATCAGGAATAGTCGGTTTGCAGTGCTGCAGCAGAAGCAGTAGAAGCCTATCATCTGGGTGAAATACAGTATTCCTTTATTTAAGTATGTTTCTCTTTAAAATAGTTGTCTTCAATTTATTAGACCTAATTAGAAAGCAGCATAAATTCTATTTATAGGCAGTTTTTGCTTGAGTGAACATTGGTATTTATATTCAGAAAACAATCCAGTTAAAAATGCGTAGTTAAAAGTATTTCACTTGCAGCTTAACAGCCTGATTAAGTTATTTTCTCCTCATTTATTGTAATTTGCCTTTTTCTTTTTTTAATGGACATAATATAAATCAGGATAAATATATACTTTGAAATGAAATACAGATTGATCAGGATGTGAAGATTAAATCAAACTATCCAGTATAATGACCTCCACATATTTTGAAGTTCCTTGTTCACATGTTGTTTATATGTAGCATAAATTAAAAATTTTGGGGTTTGCATAATTTTCTTTATAACTTTTAATTGAAAAAATAAAACCAGAACTAGATTATTTTTTAATGCTTTGTCATTTACTTAAACCAGATTTTTGTGTAGCTGAAAATAATAGAAGTCTGTAGAGTACTTGACATCTGTGCAGGTGTTCTGCCTGCTCACTTGCTTGCACACTTGTCATGATCAAAAATATGAGGCTTACTTGCCTGCTTCTCCAAAGTGATTTATGCCTCACCTAGAGCAGTGTTCAGAAAAACAGCTTGATGTCACTCAACTGGAGAAGCCTCCTTTTAGTAAGTGTGAGGAAGGACAACCATACTCATGCCATCTTAAAGTAATACTTCTCTGAGGAAAAATTTTGGAGAGGTTTGGGGTTTTTTCCCCTCTTAAAATGGCATGTTCCTGCTCATAGCAGCAATTGTGGTCTCCTAAGGAAAAGAAATTTCCACATGAACACCCACATAAGTAACATGTTAAACTTCAGTAATTGTTTTAGTGGCAAGAAAACTGTCTGCTTGAGTGGATGCCAGAGATGTCCGTGCGTAAGGTGTTGTCGTGGTTCAAGCCCAGCCGGCAACTTGGAACCACGCAGCCGCTCGCTCACTCCCCCCCTTTTCCTTCCTCCCCCCGCTCCCGGAGGGATGGGGAGGAGAATCGGAGGAATGTAACTCCCACGAGTTGAGATAACAGCTCTCCAGTAACTAAGGTATAATACAAACCACTGCTGCTACCAATAATAATGATAAGAGGAATAACAAGGGAAAAGGACACAACCGCTCACCACCCGCTGACCGATACCCAGCCCGACCCGAGCAGCGATCTGGGCCTTCTGGGTAACTCCCCCCAGTTTCTATACTGGGCATGACGTGCTGTGGTATGGAATCCCCCTTTGGCCAGTTTGGGTCAGGTGTCCTGCCTCTGCTTCCTCCCGGCTTCCCCTCCTCCCTGGCAGAGCATGAGACTGAGAAAGTCCTTGGTCAGAGTAAACATTACTGAGCAACAACTAAAAACATCGGTGTTATCAGCATTGTTCCCAGACTGAAAGTCAAAAACACAGCACTGCACCAGCTACTAAGAAGGAGAAAAAATGACTGCTGTAGCTGAACCCAGGACATGGGGGAAGCAAAGTTATTACTTCTCAGTCCATACCCTTGGCTGAAAAATCTGCACAGTTCCATGTTAGTTGGTGTGCTTTCATCTGAGCTTCCATGAAAGGCTTTTTCTTTAGAAAGATCAGGTAAAGGAATATTTTATTTTCCTTATTCTCCAGTACCAGTCTCTAGTGAATTTTTTTCCCCTCATGAGTGTTGTCTCATACATATGTACAGATCAAGCCACAAAAAAGTGAAATGTATAGGAACAAATCTGGAAAAGCAATGGGATTATCCCATTGGGTGGTGAGTGGTCATCATCTGGTATGTCAGAGTAAGTGAGGAAGAGGAAACCTGCATCCAGGTTATCCCACCCAAGCCACCAAAAGTGTATAACCTGGTAAATGGTTGTATAATTTCCGCTTGCTTTTACAGGCAATGAACTGTGGAGCAGACATTTTACTTAAGTGTTCACAGATCCCGGCCCAAAGCCATCATATTTTTTATGTCTTTATGATATGTTTAGAGCACTTCTCTGCCTGGTCGCGACCAGCAAAATGAATGTATTAATTATGTTAACGACAAATATTAGATTATTGATTTGAGTTCAGATTTAAGCATCTTTTGCAGATTAAAATTTTTCAGTAAAAGTTGAATTTCTGTATATTTTTACTTCTTTTCTCTACAGATGATTCAGACCATCAGGACTCTAGTTGAAAATACAGATAGCTTATATGAGAAGATAGTACAGTGTCAGAAAGCAGGTAAGTACAAGCTATTTTTAAAAAATATTATGAAGAACTTACTGCATTTTTATTTCCAAAACCTTTAATGCAGTTTGATTATTCAACTGTAGCAAAAACCAAACCAAACCATAACACCAAAAAAACCTCACCAACCGAAAAAGGAGGTTATTGTGATTTAGGCACATAGTATGAGAGTGAAAAGGACATTTCAAATCAAAGATCCATAGGATTACAGCTTGACTTTGGAAATTGTGGGCATTTTATATATGGACAGCAGCCTATTGATATAGACATTTCCACAAAGGAAACATAGGATTACAGGAAAGAAGGAGAATGATCTTCCTTCACAATCAGTTTCTAACCATTTACTCCTGTCTCCTCTTTTACTGTGTGAGAACTGTACCTCTTTTGTCATGGTAGCCTCATGTCTTCAGGAGCCTTGGTGAAGTTCCTTGCCTTCTGATAGTTACATGACAGTAGTTGAGGTGTTTTGTCCTCGCATTTCCCTAGATCTATTGGGTGGATACCCTCTGATTCTGCTGATTTGTTACTGTTTTATCTATTCAGAGTAAAACTGGTTTTGTAGACAGTTACATCTGCCAGGCGTTTTAAACCATGTGGATGCAGAAAGTAATTTTTAAACTTCATTACGATGTATTGGTCCCACAGGTTCTCTGAAAGTTTTTCTGATATGAATTTGAAACAGATTGTATAGTTAGTTCGTAATCCCTTCACAATTTGCCCTTTTTTCGCCTGATACAGTTTCACACATGGACACAACTGGATTTTGAAGGTTTCCTTTTAATTTTAATAGCATATCTGACCTTGCTGTTTCATCGTGTTTGTTTTCTCTTGGTCTTAAGTACAATATTATAAATTTGCTCTTAAACAATATTATTAATTTGCTCAGAGTACTGATGCATTACATGTTACACCAGAAACAGGAAGTCTGCCAGAGAGTAAAAGTATCTATAACCATGTCTTGCATGACTCAATCAGGACAGGAGCTTTTTATGTACAAATACATTTTTACCTATCTGATACTCAGCTGATACTCAGCAGCTATCTGATATTCAGCAGCTCCCATCATCTTCCATGATTTTCTTCCATTCTTTGATCTGCTTCTCTGCTCACCTGTAAATTTCAGCCTCTTTTCTTCATTCTCTTTTCCTGAAAAGAAAAAAAAT